CTGAGCAGTCACTGGGCAGGTTTCAAATTTACCTGCCCTATATGGCATTGTTCCTGGGCCCAACTTTTGGGAGCTTGAACCCTTACCTGCCCTCAGTGTTGAATTTTAGAAGGAACCCTAGCTATTATTAAAAGATGAAATCCACTGTTTTGGGATTCCCACCAAATGTGGGTATGCAAGGCGCCGGGAAGGTGTTTAACATTTTTGAAAATGGCACTTACTTATTGTATATGTGTTTCCCTTCAGATACGGGCTCATCAGGGTGGATAGTTGCTTGCCACACCCTGGTGGCCCTCTACAGCCAGACGCTCAGGCTCAGGGTGTCTGTTCCTTTGGATTCTGACTTTCTCTTGCCAGGTCCTGTGTCTGTGGTACAAATTAAGGCTGTGAGCATGGCTGTGCTGTAAATCAGGGCTGTACGTCCTCATGACTCCCATGTCTGGAGGTGGTTCAGGGGCCCTGACACAGCTGCCCCAAAGCAGCCGCATCTCTTGTAGCACGGGGGCCAGGGGTCTGGAAATGAAAGGCAGAGGCTCTCTGCTACATGACTGCACTCCAATACTACTGGATGATACCCCATCTCTGGGACTCTGGTTAGATTTAGGCTGTTACTTGGAGGAAGGATGGGGACTTGAGGGGACCCCTGGGCCACACAACTCCAGAACAGGGTGCCAGCATCTTTGAGAGTCCTGGGGTATTAAGAAACAATGGAGATCCTTATCCTGGACCCTACATCCAGCAGGGTGCTAGGATCTCACAGGGCACAATGGAGATCATCAGCCTGGACTTAGGCTCTGCATCCAACAGGGTGTTGAGACATCAGGGTTGGGTCCATGAGGCTACACTTTCTCTGACAGGTGGGTACAGGTTCTACCAAGGGATAATCAGTCTTCTGAACGTAAGGGTCCCTGATGTCTACTAGTATCTATCCCCTGGCCTTGCCCATTAGGGACTTGGAGGAAAGCTCTGGTCTGGGCAGAGGGGTCCAGCTTGACCCCTCTCCATGGCTGCTCTACCAGTGTGGTGGTGTACTGGGTAAGGGAGTGTCTGCAGGCTTACTAAAGGGGCCGTGGGATCACAGGGTCCTGTATCACAGCAGAGGGATTTCAGCAGCCTCGTATCAGATGTAAAAGAAGAGGTATTAGATGGACCCATGCTGAACTCAGCTTTGAAAGTTGATGGCAGATTTGATCTGTGGTCTGATGCTCCCAGCTGCCCCCACAGAGGCCCTCCTGCCAGCAGGGAAACAGAGACCTACAGTCCTCTGCTGGGGGATGAAATATTCAGTTTGATGGCTCGGGAGGGTGACGCTTCCTTCCTTGTCCCAGCCCGACTATAAAGAGGAGCTCGAGCTTTGGCAGTGGCCCCACAAGGCTGCAGATTGCGCTAAACAGACCAGCAACAAGGTATCCTGGGAGGGAGGGTGGACTGCTCTCTCTACAGACAGGGTGGACCTGGTGTTTGTGATGGGGGTGGGAATGGGAGAGTCATCTCTTAGTCACCTCAGAATAATGGCTTAGAAAAACAGAAACAGAAGCATTTATGAGATGCTAGCATTCTTAAGGGTGGCCCACTTCGGAGCGGCAGGATGGGATCATCCTAGTGGGCAGCATCATCATCTTGGCTTCCTCTTGCTGCAGGTGGTCCTGATCTGCATTTGGTAAAAATGCAGGCCTGTGTGCTATGGTGCCTGGCCCTTGGCATTCTGCTGGGGATTCCTGCAGGTGAGGGACCGCTCTGGGACTGGATGTGGCGGTAGCTCTCTTGCTTTTCCATGCCTCTCCTTCAAACTGCCCTTGTCCTGGTCTGCAGTGGTTAATGGGGGTTTGCCCTAGGTGATGGCAGTCCTTTCCTTTTGCAGGAGCCAAGCCAATGCCAGAGGAAGCAGGTACACTTTTCGATATCTTTCCTCTCACTGGCATAAGGTACTGGTGCATGCAGGTGGGTGGGGGAGCAGAGGCTGCTCTGCTCGAGCAGACAGAACAGTGGGAGCCCTCGCTCTCCTGCAGTATGAAAATGCAGGTCCTGTTGCCTGTAGGGAGCTGTGCATGCTGAAGGGTCCAGGACACCATGAGGCTGGGCTGTGTCTTCTGCTATGTGAACCCTCAGACAGAAGGGAGATGGATGAGCTCTCAGAGTCCCACCCTCAGTCTGAGCTCAGATTCTGGGCACTCTCAGGAGTCCCAGTACCACAGAGGTGGCCTAGCCTGTGCTCTAGAATGTGGGTGCTGTGTTCTTTGAAGCCTCATCAACATGCCGCCTGAGCCCCCCCCCCCCCCTCATCACCCAGCTGCCTCTCTGACAATCATCTCCCAGACAAGGACAGCCCCTGCTTTCTTCTCCCATTTCCCCTTCCTTTTCGGACCACCAGACCAGGTACTCTAACAGGCAAGAGGTACACTCAGAGTGACTCAGACTCCTTTCCTGACTGGGAAGGTGTCCTCCTTGTGGCAGGCACTGCGAGCACCATTCACCTGCCCTGGCTGTATATAGGATATTCTTCTAGCGGGGATAATAGGACAGGCACTGAGGCAATTACCTGTGTCATGTCTTTCAGATCCCAACACACAGCCACCAGCCATGCCCTACTGGCCTTTCTCCACCTCTGACTTCTGGAACTATGTGCAATATTTCCAGACCCAGGGCGCCTACCCACAGATCGAGGACATGGCCAGAACTTTCTTTGCACACTTTCCTCTGGGGAGCACCCTAGGCTACCATGTTCCCTACCAGGAGGACTGAGCAATGTTTAGTCTGCTGCCTGACTGCCTGGGCTGCCTGGGCTGAAGGTGGTTCAGAGACACAGTGGTGGGCAAGGGTGAGACTCATGCTCAATAAACCCCCTCTGACGATGCATCCTGCCCCTGTGGGTTTCTTTCAAGGAGCCAATGTGTGCTGCAGCACTGTGAATCACTGGGCTTTATTCTGATGACCACTGAGAACGCCTTTAATAAAGACATACATCATTTCTATCCATTAATCAGCGTCAGTCAGGGCTTTCAGCCTCAGGTGTCACTTTGTTATTCTACCGTCACAATGACCTGGGGGTGGGCTATGGTGGCCCCAGATTGTAGGTAAGGAAGCTGAAAGAAAGACACCAGTACAGCTTCACTTGTCGAGGCCATGTGCCTAGTTAGGCATGCCAGACAGCAGGCAGCCTTCCCTTGGCTGTCAGATGAACTACAGTCATGTTGCGGCCTGGCACCCACACTCAGTACATAGTGTGTCCCTGGGAGTAGCAGGAATCAAGAAGCCAGACCCCTGTCTGCAAGGGGGAGCCACAGCCCACACTTAGTATCTGAAGGGAAGATTCCAGACTGAGGATGCTGGGGGAAGGGGATGGTCTCCCTGGATGGTGCTCTGGTTGCGTTAGGATACGAGTGCAGTGTGACATAATGCAAGGGCAGCCTGTGTTGCAGGCAGTAAGCCTCCCTGACACACACAAGGCATGCAAGCCAGGAACACACTGGTTAATTCCCTCACACCAGCAGGAAGAGAAACTAATAGGAGGCTCCTCTTGGCTGCCAGCCTGTCTCAGCTTCCTTAGTTTGACCTTCACGTGGGTTTCTCAGAATGACACTGACCTGGCATCTGAGCTTTCTGGTTATTTCTTACACATCCTGCACAGTTCACTCAGGCTTAAGAGGTAGGAGTGACTGCCCAGGCTTAATTCCCATAATATCTTGGCTGAGTCAGTTTCCCTGGAAACTGTCTTTACCCTTGACCCCCATTTTTACTCCAACAGTTCACATCTCAAATCCCTGATGCCTCAAAGTTGTTAAAGGAAAACAAAACAGAACCAAAAACCCCAACCCAATCCAATCCAACCCAACCAAACAACCAGCCAACCAACCAACCAACAGTTCCAGAACGCTTTGAAAGCAGAGTAAGAGAAAACATCCAAAACCACAGGGGCAGGGACAGGAGCAAACGCCTTACACTGCTAGAGAGAGACTAAGCTCAATCACAGTACCAACAGGGACTGACAGTCAAGGAGCAGGGTGGAGGTAGATGGGAAATAACTCGGGGTAACACAGATGCTTCGCTGAAGGCAGGATCAGAGCACACTGCCCGGGAATAGTGGAGGATGGGGAGCCCTATCAGACATGGAGAGCAGGCAGGTATCAGTTGGATCTCAGGCTTCTTGCTGCGGTGATTTCTCGGGAATACTTGTTAAACCTGGATTTTACCAGGAGGTGCACAGAGGAACATCCAGGGGCCTCACTAGAGTATTCTAGACTGTCAGAGTGGCTCAGGCCCTCTCCTACAATGATCCACCTCCATGTCCCTTTCTCATCTCTTTTCTTTCATTTTTTAAAAACCATGGCACAGTATAGCACTCTAAAATGTGTCACCCTAGCCACCTCTCGGGGGACAGTTCAGTGATATAATGGACACCTTTCCCCAACCCCAAGACACACCTCTAGAACGCTTGGCTATCTAAAACTGTGTCCACTGAACAACTACCACCCCAAACACTGCGGCATTTATGAGTTTGGCTGCTCTAGAGACCTCATATGAGTGGTACACAGCTTTTGTTTATACTTCACTTAGCAACATCCTCACGGTTTGTCCATGCCCATAGGTTAGGAATCCCTTCTTAGTTTCAAGACTCTACACTATCCCACCATGAAGATAAAGCCCATCTTGTCTACGTGCACTGGGCTGCTTCCTCTTCTTGACCGAGGTGACCCTTCAAATGGCCACTGCTCACTACTAGTTTTGGATTTCTGTTACCCCAACAGCACCTGGGGATCCAATACCCGCACCTTCTAGCCAATCCATTACTGCCTGCAATCTCCCTACGGTAGCCATTATGATGGTTTTGAGAGTCTCCTTTCTCCGCCGACCACTCGTGCTCATGCGGTGTTGCTGGTCCTTAACCCATAATCTGCTGCCCTAGTCAGCTTGGAGAAAGCTGCCTTGCAGCAAACGCCAGCAGGGTGCCACCGAGGCGCGGTCCTCCAGGGTCTAGACCTGCTCGGTGGAACACCGGAAATAGAAGGGGCTGGCCGGAAGTGAGCGCAACGCCGCCATCTCAAGATGAAACCGGCTGTGGATGAGATGTTCCCCGAGGGCGCGGGACCCTATGTGGACCTGGATGAGGTGGGGCGGTGGCGGCGCGGAGCGATGCGTGGGGGTGGGATCACGCCTGCAAGCCTGCGCCCGAGCCCAGGCCCTTAGGGATTCAAAAACTGCCAGAGGCTGGGGAAGCGGGAGCTGCCGGGGCAGTCGCAGGGCCCCAGGTAGTTAGGTGAATTGCATCCAGGAAGTAGGGTTTGCTCGCTGTCAGTTGATTGTGGCTCCTGATAAATCTTGCAGAGAGAGAAGGCGCGAGCGAGGCTTACACACTGACAGGCCTCCAGTCCCCAAGCCCTGAGAGAAGGTCAAGGGATGGTGTGTGGCAACTGTGTGCTTTGTGCTGGGACTCAGTTATTTCGTGTAGACACAGTTTTAGAGTGATCCTGTGCTTTTAATTTCCACCATGGTCACAGATATTTATCTGCTATAGGTGTTCCAGTGAGGTTGGTTATGATCAGGAGTGTCAGCAGCTCTTGTATGTCAGCTTCCTGCTCCTCTTGAAAGCTCAGCGGGTAGGGAGATACATGAATGCATTCCCAGACCTGAGAGAAGTCAGATGTAGTCCGAAGAGGCCGATTGCAAATCCTAAGCAAGAATGGGGTGGGGGTGCCCTACAGATGTATCCATTGGGTTTTGTTTGGCCCAGATGAGGCTTAAGAGAGGCGCTTCCCCTGATCCAAATATTGAAGGGTGTGTCTTGTTGACACTGGGATATAGATGATGAGAACCATAGTAGCTGAGCTCTGGAAGAGCAGTGCTCCCTGGCCCGCCAATGGAAGGGAATATCTTGTAGTTTGTCTTAACATTTCTATTGCTATGACAAAACACCATAGCCAAAGGGGAAGTTGGGGAGGAAAGGATTGATTTGACCTACACTTCCAGAGAAAGGCAGGGCAGGAACTCAAGCAGGGCCGGAACCTGGAGGCAGGAGCTGATGCAGAGGCCATGGAAGGGTGTGGCTTGCTGGCTTGCTCAGCCTGCTTTCTTATAGAACCCAGAACCACCAGCCCAGGGATGGCACCACCTACCATGGGCTGGACCCTCCCTCATTGATCACTAATTGAGAAAACGTCTTACAGCTGGATCTCATGGAGGCTTTTCCTCAGCGGAGCTCCTTCCTCTCTGATGATTGGAGCTTGTGTCAGGTTGACACAAAACCAGCCAGTGCACAGTGGAACCCGGAGGGGCAGGAACAAGCCCCCCCCCCCATTATGTGGACCTCCGAATAATGGCGCCTGCAGAATGAGTGTGTGGGCTCTGTGACCCCCTGATGAGGCAATTGCTCTCAGCCTTAGCCCCTCAGTCCTGCAGCAGGTGATCTGAAGGCATCCCAGTAAGGAAGCCCGACGACCTGTGGGGGTTGGTCCTTTGGAGGATTTGGAGCTTTGGTTTATAGGGAGATAGTAGAGAAATGGAAACAAGAAGAAGAAACCCTTAAGGAAGTTGTGGTTGAGGCAGCAGAGGCAGAAGGGCTCAGCCAGGGACTTCAGAGGCAGTCTGTATGGCTTCCTGCAGTGGTGGGGGTTGGGGTGGAGGCGAAGAGAAGATTCAAAACACAGTACAGGAGATGCTCATGCACTTGACACTCCAAGGAAAGTCAAACCATCTTTGAGAGATGAGGCTCAGGCAGAAGGATGCCAGAGCCAGCTGTCCTATGTATGGCAACTACAGGTCTCTGCTTCCACTGCTCTGGTGACTAAATAAATGGCACAGAGTCTTTGAGAGGGTTCGTATCTCACAGATTGGCTGTGGTCTGGTTTTAGCACCACCATACGGTGGCTGCCCTGGAGGATCCTCCCAGGAGCAGCGCCCCAGACCTCAGTGCTCGGGACAAACAGCTTCCCAAGGAGAATGGCTGCAGTCTCAGAAAGAAGGGAGGCTCTCGAGCAGACATCCGGCCTGCTGACATACTTCTGTGTCCTCTGGCATTGTCTAGGAGAGGTTGAAGACTCCGAAAGAGAGCACCACACAAGGCCATGCCAAGGGAAACTCGAGAGACACAGGACCTTGAGAGAGCTTTGAAATCATTTGCTTGGCTTCCCTATTCACACTACTTTCTTTGTCTGGAAAGTTTTGGCTCCCAACTTGAGCCAAATTCTTCTTGTCCCTCAGTGTTCTGTTCCAGGGAGGTGGGATGGGTTTGGTAACGAAGCCACCACCTGCTTTTGGGAACCGAACACACGAAATGACCTTCCCTCTCGTTCTCCAGGCTGGAGGCAGCACGGGACTGTTGATGGACTTGGCAGCCAATGAAAAGGCAGTTCACGCAGACTTTTTTAATGGTGAGTATGCCTGTGCCAGGATTGGGTGCCAGGCTCAATCTGAGATTTCCTCTGCGGTGGGCAGCTTTGTGCCGTGGGTAATTTGGATCATAGAACAGTGTGGCCCAGACCTTGTGCCTTTCTCAGTACTGTGCCAGGTGTATGGAGTGATCGCCCTGGCAGTTAGCTGTGCCTTTCAGCCCTATCTGAGGGGAGAACAGGAAGTGAGTCTCTCCCAGTTTTTACCCAAGGTTGAATTTAAGCAGTAGTGTGGATAGCATGTGTAAATGGACATATTGATTATGGTCTGTCTGCCAGACCTGGGCACAGAGGCCTGCAGGGCCCTGTCTTTGGTCTCTCCCGGTGGTGGTGTGTATCCCTTTCTTTCTTTCCTGGGTCACACCTGTTTGTCCACCTGGACTCATGGCCGCTGCTGCCTCTGCAGAGTGACAGCTGTGCTCTGCTTCCGCTCACCGTGAGCCAGGTCAGGGCAGAGGACACACTTCTATCCCGTAGCTAAGAGCATTCTTGGTTAGATTATTGTACCAATTGAACAGCAAAAACTGACAGTAAAATCACCAGGCATGTGAAGGGTGTGTTTGAACCTCCTGTCCTTCTGATGGTGAAGGCCTTGTTCCTACTGGTTAACCCTTACATTGGGTTCAAGTGGCGATTGGGAATCTAGGCCAAGTTCTGTACTCGGAGGGGAGTAGAGGTTTTCTCCCTTTTGTCCCAACTAAACTCTAGTGCATGACTCTCCAAAGAGCCATAACTAACCATGCCATATTGATGTCTAACTTACTAGGGGCCCCCTCAAGCCCAGATGGGTTTGGGGGCTCACTGGCATGTGGCTGGTGCTTGAGTGGGGCACCATCTGTCAGATGGGTGTTTCCTTCCTGGGGACTTTGCTTCTCCCCAGCTGGTGTCAGAACTGGGGGTTAGAGCCTAGCACTGGAGCCTTCACAGTCATTTCTCTAAGTTCTTTTCAGGGAGTAGATGGCACAGGGCTACTGACTGCTCCCCAGCGCAGCCTTGTGACACCTTAGGGAGTGGGGGGCTCCTGGCTCTGCAGGGTGTGCTGCCTGTAGGGCTCATAGGGTTGAAGTAGGACTCCTTCAGAATCCCATTCATCTGTGTTAGCTCATGGTACTCGAGAGAACAGCTGCATACTGTGTTCAGTGCATGCAGTTCTACAGGGAGCAAGTGGCCTGGCCTGCACCTAGTGACATGGCAGCAGACACCTGTCTCCCAATGACCCATACTGGACAGGGAAGGGACATGCAGACTCCCTGTCTCCACTCCTGCCTGGGAAGGGACATGTGTCTCCTACTCACTCACTGCCTAAGCTCAGCAAGAGTGGGTGCTGTCTACAGTCTGTGCCAAACCCAGTGCTCAGAAAACCATTCATTGTGAGAGGCCCATGAGACTTGGCTAGGACTTCCACCAAGGCCTTCCCGCTCCCCAAACAGATGGGTTCTGGTGCTGTTGTCTGGTAAGCAGCGGGTCCTTCCTGTGAACCTGACACTCTCTCTTCCTCTACTGCGGTTTATAAGTGGTGAGGGATCTAGACAAGGCTGTGGGCAGGCTGCTGAGAGCCAGGATAAATTGGGTGGTATTGTATCCAGAGGACTATCATAGGGAGGCTTCTCTAGGTCACAGGAGTGGTGTCAGGGCAGGAATCACAGGCGTCAGGAGGTGAGGAGAGTGGAGCAGTCTCCTGCATGGCCAGAGCTGCACTGTAGACACTGCCTTTTCCCAGAAAGGTCTAGTGTGGGAACACAGGAGGCTTTCCAAGCAGATGACCTCTGCACACATCAGTGGGCTTGACTTCTTTCCTGTCCTCAAAGTGACCCTGCCCAGTAGATGAAAGTGTGGAATATGTGTAAGCAGAAGAGCAGGTTGATGGCTGTGGGCTCCAGTGGCATGTTTGGATACTGACTGTAAAATACACTCTGACTAGAGTAGGCTGTAGCTGTGTATCTGGAGCGTAGCTTGCCCGGGCTCGCTAAGGGGGTCATCTCAGGGGCTCAGTCCAGCCACTGTTCCCCGCACTTCCACCCTCCTGGTGCAGGCGTGGCACTGCTGTCCTCATGCTCAGCGTGGCCACCAAGCTGCAAGGTGGTTGTCCGTGTGTCCACAGCACCCCGTACTTTATAAAAATACCCTTCCTCCAGCTAGATAAAACTGAGTCTCTTGGGGAGTCCTTTACCAGGTCACACCATTTACCATTGTCTGCCTTTCCAGCTAGCAGCACATTCGTTTTGAAGCAGTTTCCTCACTTGCTTGTCCTGTGCCCAGTAATGCTTTGTTCTGATTTGTTTTTGTAGATTTTGAAGATCTCTTTGATGATGATGATGTCCAGTGAAGCCGCCCAGTCACATGGGCTCTGTGTCTGTGACGTGTCTGGAGTCTCTCAGGACAGTATCAGCTGGTCGGAGACACTGTGTGACTATCACTAGAAATCAGAACCTAGTCAAGCACTAGGGGAACTGTCTGAACCAACTGGGTACTGATGTCTCTAGGAATGCCAGCCTTGTGTCCTTGTTTAAACTAATAAAGAACACTATAACATGCAGAGTGATTTTAATTCTTGTGCTTTTAGATGCAGGTTACAACCCCCCTACCTCATGTGTGAACACAGAATAAAACATGTCACTTCAGCAAGCACACCACGCTGCTTTCAGTGTGCGGTGACTGGGGATGCACTGTCCAGGTCAGCAGTGGCCTGTACAGGCTTGTCCACATGCCTGCCAGAGCACTCTGAGGACCTGACTAAAGGTACCTTTGCCCTGTGAACGAAGACCCACTGCACACCACAGTAGGTGGTACGTTTTTCCCTAACTGCCTAACCAGAGCTGCTGCTATCACAGGACCCCAGGTTGAAGGAATCAGGGTGCCCAGGGTAGAGACTTCAAAGAAGGTGCTTTCCCCATGAGAAATGCACGGTCTGGTTCTTCTCAAAGAAGGGTACCAAATCTGGGGGATGATTTTTAAAAATGTATTAGTCAAGCTCATAGATGACTGAAACTGTTAAGATTACTATTTTGTATCTGTCACAGTGACGGCTGTTCTGCAGAGCAGGACTTGCCAATGCCTTAGTCTCCTTACTGGTAAGACTAGGATGTTGGTGTCTGAGATGTCTTCTGGTTTTGGCATCCCCAGTCTTCAGGTGGGGAAGATGTGAGGCAAAGGAAAGTCAGCTGTGCAGCAACTACTCACTGTACAGAGAACCTTGTAAGGACATGCTGTGGCCCAGAGACCAGAACTGCCTCAGCAGAGCAGTCTGCATACCTGTGAGCCTGTGGGTGCTCTATGGTGTCCACCTTTCTCCTCACAGAACCCTTACAGCTCCTTCAGTACCAAGAAGAGGAACTTCCTTACTTCTCACGTCTCAGGTCAACTCCAAGTAAAAGTAACTTTATGTTTTACCTGCTGGCTTCTGCTCTTTCCAGTGATACACCTTCAGGGAGCTTATACTCCACGGGGAACACTTAGGGACATTTCTGATTGGTCTGCCTTCTGTCAGGCCACATAGTCTCACAGCTAGCCAATAGAGGCTGTGGGAGATGGCAGTGCCAACATTCTGTGAGAAGACCTTTTTTTAACCAGGGCAGGGAACAGCGGGTGACCCTACTCAGTGACAGCTACAATTTATTTGGAGAATGTTTTCTGCTAACCAAGCATCATGTCCTTGTTCAGCCCCTGACTCTGAGAGGAAGATGCTAGGGAAATCCTGTGTGGGTTATTTGGCCTTTGGAACAGCAGTGGAAAGGAAACCTTGTTTAGTGGCTCAGTCTGTCTGTCAGGACTTAGGAGGAAGGTCTTCCTTCCCTGACTTCATGTTTCTTTCTGGGTGGGGTGAAAGCCCCCACCTCCCTGTGAATTTCCACCAGTCACGTCAGTGGGAAACCCAACATGTTACCAAGATACAGGAAAGTGTAGGGAAGGAAGACAAGAGGAGTCTCAGTTTTGTTTTGTTTTGTTTTTGGTTTGTTGGTTGTCTTTGTTTTGTTTCATTTTGTTTTTGAGTCAGTTTCACTGTGTCTGCCTGGCTGTCTTGGTACTTGCTGTGTAGACCAGGCAGGCCTCATACAGAGATCTGCCTCCTGAGTTCTGGGACTAAAGATGTGTGCCACCACATCCAACAAGCATCCACGTTGGTGACAATCCAAAGCTACGCCAGTTGCTCTCCTAACATAAACCATGTTTATAGAAAAGGCCCCTTACTTCGTTTAGAAACTTGACTGCTATGATTACTGCTGGGAGCCAAGAAGAGGGGCTGCTGAGAAAACTCTCACAGAAGGCCCTTTGTCCTCCAGAGGCCAGCGCTTGGCATTCAGGAACTGTGTTGTTCTTTATCCACCATGGCCCACAGGCCCCAGTCAGCAGGCATCAGACGAGGTCAACTTTGTTTCTTGCTTTAGCCATGCCCCTCTCTAGGGAGCAGGTTTAGGCACCATGGGGCACCATGGGCCCTGTGTCAGAAGCATCCAGCCCTGAATTAGCTATTGCAGGTTTTTTAGGCTGCACCGCAGGCTTTGTGTGAATAATCTATTCCCTGATGAGCCAGACAGTTATAACAGCTGCTGGATGATCTTTGAGGAGAGTCAATGCTGTGTGCCTTCAGGGGGCTGCCAGCCCAAGGACAGTCACTGTATCTAAGGGATGACCTTCCTCTCTTGTCCCCAGCATCAAGGCCATCTGATATAAGGTAGATTCTCAGCAAATGTCTGCTAAATGTAACCAAACAACAACATGCCTGATGTGCATGGGATTTGCAAACCATGTCCTAGGTCCTGAGGAGGAAAGAGATGCCATGTTTTGTCTGAGCAAAAGCCCTGATTCCATTTGTAGAGGCTCTACTTAAATTGCCCCCCCCCAAAGGCTCTGCTTCCTAATACATCCCCAGGTGGGGTTCAGTGCAAAGCAGGGGGAGGGGGGAAGAGCACAACAGCAGACAGTACATCTTGTACATCTTGGAACTGGTGAATGTGCACACATGACCCTGACACTGGACTGCCTGACACCAACCTAAAGGGGACAAGGAACCTAAACATACCTGTAGTGTGCTGCCTGATCCAGGATGTGTGTGAGAGGGGTGGTTAACAGGATCCTGGAGCTCAACAGGATGCCTGGGTCAAAGCTGAATTGCCCCTGTGGTCTGAAGCTAGCCCACCCCCTAAGCCCTAAGGTAGCAATACTGCCTCCATTGTGGCTACAAGGGGACTCAGCAAATTGCTCAGGTATTGTTTAGCAGCTCCATGCACATGGCAGGCAAGCACTGTGCAATTGTAGCTGCTTTTAGCACATTTGTGGTTTTGGGTTTCAAGAACTCTGTGCTTACCCTGTGGATTCCCTGTAAGCTCTGGAACCCTGTGAAATTCTGGTCCTTTCACACTGATGAGCATTGGCCCTGGTCATCCAGAATTCTGAGGTTCCAGGCCCCATATACTGTGTTCTCTCTCCTCAGAAGCCATCAGCAAGGCCAGGTGATGGTTGGTTGGAAGTTACTCTGGAAGCAGGTCAGAGCCAGAGTACAATATCCTCTAGCAAATTAGACTTACAAGGGCACAGACAATTATAAAAAAAAAAGTTTGCAGAACAGCCTGTACATATGGCAGATACTTAAAAACAGTTGGGTAAAATGTCAGTAGAGCCAACAAGACATAAAACTTCTAAGAAGATGAAACTCCATACATGCTGGTGGTTAAGAGAGGAAACAGAAGATGATGTCTCATGAGTGTGCACCCAGTACTTGCACACAGGAAGCTCAGTGGGGAGAAATGGGTACCACTCCTATGACAAGATACTACCAGTTCAATGGTTCCCTGCCCTGGCCCGTGGGGATTCAACAAGACCTTAGGGAAGGGGGCGAAAGAATGAAGGGACAAGAGACACTAGGAATGAGAGCAAGTCTGGGGTTCTGATCAAGCTCTGAAACTTTAATTTTGGGTGCAGATTATAAAGACACAGCAAACTGGGAAGTTTGGGCGAGGGTCATTGCTTAGGACTATCTCACTGTTGAATGCTTATTGCCCTAGACCATCCCACTGTCATATGCTTATTGTCCTAGACCATCCCATTGTCATAACCGGCTCCCAGGAAATGCCAGATGTTCTTTAAGTTCCTGGGGCCTGAGACCCTCGAACGTCCTTTCTTAACCTTGCACTGACTAGGCTTTCTAGAACAGCAGGTAACTTCCTCGGTTCTCTTAGGACAGCAGGTAGTTTCCTGGGTTTGGCTCCCGGCAGTTCTCTACCTTCCTAAGGCTGCGGACCTTTTGACACAGTTCCTCATGTTGTGGTGACCCCCAACCATAAAATTATTTTTGTTGCTACATCATAACTATATTTTTGCAACTGTTATGAATCATAATGTAAATATTTACTATACAGGATATCTAATATGTGACTCCAGGTTGAGAACCACTGCTCTAGTTCACAAGTGGCTAAATTATCCAGATAAAATCAATAAGGAAAGACAACTTAGATGGATATACTTGAGAGGCGTGCACAGAGCACCCCACACAGCAGCAGCATAAATGCACCCTTCCCCCATGCTGAGAGAGGTGTCTTCTGTTGCTCTGTGTGGAAGCCAAGTGGCCACAGTGATAGACATCAATGGTGCATGTACCCTTGATATGGCAGTGCAGTAAGCGGACATTTCCTCCAGAGTTTTTACATAACAAAATTGTGGACCAGAAAGTAGCTGGGGAAGTGATAAGTGGCCACCCCACAGCATCCTGCATTCTGTGAACAGTGAGCTAGACCTCTCACCACAGAGGGGATTACTCAGAGCCTATGGATGGGAAACGCGGGATACAGTGAGAAATGCATTAAATGACTTTTCAACCTGTTTACATGTACAAAAATTATATACTGTGTACAAATGTATATGCTTTTTAGGTGAATATATAGATGTATCCAAAACTCTTCACCTATACAGCCCATGTTAGTCTGTGGGATGTGATCGCAAAACATTCATATGTGATCACATGTGTGCATGTATACTCATGCTCCTAAAACTTCATGCTTTCTGCGCTATGGGGAAGCACATGCAAAAACAGTGTGTCAGGTGTAAGGGCTGGAGCTCAGAGAGCAGGAGTGGGTGCTGGCCCCGCCTGGAATGGAGCTCTTGCAGGTGGCCCCGTGTAACCAGAAGAGAGGAGCCTTAGGGGCACAGCCCAGAGGGAGAGAGGAGGACAGGAAGCCAAGGTAGGTGGCCACCTGTGGTGGTCCAAGCAGTCCTAGTTAGAGGCTGGCTCCCTGGATTATTTTCTTCCCAGCCCCAGGGTGGGGTCTTACTCCATTTTCTTTGGTTCCATTTAGAGCTGAAACAAAAATGGAAGGTTGACTATCAGGGACCAGGTTTGCTAACAAGTATATCCTTTGATAGAGTAAGTGGCTTCACGGCCTAGCACTCACTGGAACTTGAGTTACATTGAACAGGTACATTTTCTCTACAAGCATATGTCTGCTTTTGTCTGGGTAATCTAGCCTCTGCCCTGGAAGGGTCCTACAGAAGAGGGATTTCCTCTGAAAAGCAGATGAATCAAACTCTTGTGGGGTCTTCCTC